CATTGTTCAAACATGAAGTTAAATACAGGCTGCAGGTTAAGAAATGGATGAAACAGCTAACACCCGAATGGATACATCTTCAGGAAATAGTAGAATTGTTATAAGTTTTTGAGACGACCCTTTCATAGTTAGACAAACATTTGAAATGAACTTTCTTTCTGTCAATGAAAAACAATATAAATCTTTTGAAATGACCCCCTTTGTAAACAATGTAATCCGTAGGCTAACTGTAAACAACTTACTCCTGCCGCCTTTAATAAAAGCAGATGCAATCTTTTTTGAATTATTACTTACCTGATTATACAATACACATGTGCATATATAGGCTGAAATCCTTCTGTACGCTATATCCAGACGAGTTTATGAGCATCGTTAATTCCATCAAATATAATCCATATATCCTCGAGCACGTGCGCGTATTTTTGCAATGATAAGCTATCACGTCTATTACCAAATTATAGACTAGCTTAGCCTGGTACACCTTTTACAACCGAACAACTGATACTAATCTTTCACTTTGCACTTTAAACCTGTCATTTTATTTAACTATATACAATATGTGCTCTGTTGATTTATTTTTCGAGTAATAAAATACTGATCGGAAAAAAAGAATGAATAAAACGTTAAAAAAAAAAAAAAAAAAAAAAAAAAAATAATAAAAATAGTAAACGGGAAAAAAAAGGAAAAAGTACGATGATGATATGGCTCGGCGACTAAAATTACAGTAGTTGTTTTTCAGTTAGACCAATATCATTAGGATTATATGTTTTATATTCTGTAAACCCTGACATCATGTAAAAAAAGTGTATGCACATTATTATAGACTATATCCACCGTTTAGAGGAAAATAGAGCCAAAATCTGATTACTAACAAAAAAAAAAAAAAAAGATTATAATAATATAGTCACACTATACTTGAGCATATTTTATATATACAGAAATACAAACATATCGAAAACCATGACTTGAAATAATTATTATCCAACATCACAGTTAGTTATATTGAATATTTCTATAAGATCAAGATTTGGTTTACATGTTCTATTTATAAATTCCATGAACACTTCCGGTGCATAATTTCCGGTTTGGATGAGCATCATTTCCTGGTATATTTTAGAAATAAATCATTATGTCAGTGCTGATCAAAGAAAGAAGCTTTTAAATATTGAAACATGAATTTATAAACAATCAGGTCAAATTTAACGTATGCAACCAATGCTATAATAGTCAATAATCAGGAGATTGTAATGTATCAACAACTTGCACTATGAAACGTCAAAATAGACAGATAGTTTTTAGTCAATTTATAATTGAACATGTAAACAAAAGCCTGATCTTATAAAAATATTCATTATAACTAATTGTGATGTTGAATAATAATAATTTTAAGTAAAGATAATACTATAGAATATATTGATTTTATCATTTCAATGGTTTTCGATATGTTTGTATTTCTGTATATATAAAATATGCTCAAGTATAGTGTGACTATACCAGTGATTTCCTATGTCATATCATGTATAGTGTGATTTTAAAATTGATTCATTATGTCATGTCATGTATAGTATGACTATACTATAGATTCCCTATGTCATGTCATGTTTAGTGTGACTCTACTATTGACTCCTTATGTCATGTCATGTATAGTGTGACTCTACTATTGCTTCCCTATGCCATGTATAGTGTGACTCTACTTTTAATTCCCTATGTCATATAAAAGTGACTGTACTATTGATTCCCTTTGTCATGCTCTAAATCATTGTTTTGCATTATTTGAACATGTAATTTTTTGTTCCCCATATTGAGGGAAATATTCTTGTGTAATCAAATCATATTTTGTAGGTATATTCATGAAATGATGAACTTCACTTTTAGATTGGACACAATAAACAGAACATCATCTTACAGACAGTCGTCATTATGATTACAGAATCAAACCACAAAGAGAAAAAGAACTATACATCTCCATGAAAAATACTTGTAACTAATTGACACAGAAAAGAATATAGAAAGGATAGAATGATGCTGGGCACAGAGATAAGTTTAGATAATCTGTTATTCATATTAGAAACTCCTACTTTCACTTTACAATCGTTACTTCCGGTTTGTAATGATCACTTCAGGTCAGACTAAACATTCTTGGCCTGATATTAATGTAAACATTGACATTAACCCTAGTACGTTCTAACAAAATACTAGTCTAATCGATCAACTAAGACTGATACAAGAGGCTAGTTCTAGATTTATTCCAAGAATCACTTTAATTTTCAATGCAGGTGTAAATCAAGCGCACAAGGAAACAAAAGCTTAGTCCGATGGACATATCAACGCTAAGACTATGTAATGTAGATACACATCACTCTATAACAACAAAAACAGTAAATCAGTAAAAAGACACTGTCTGAATGATGAATACCACAACCAATCAACAGAACATGGTTTATGAAAAGACTCGTTTGCTTTGTAAACTGTCTGCGGTCATTACATGTATTCTGATTTTAAGTGAAAATGCGACATGGGAGATAACTCTAGCCAAATATGATTCATTAAGGTTACTCCATACTAATTATGTGCGTTTTAAACAATACTTGTGAAATATCGGTTAAATTTTACCTCAGTGAAAAAATTATCTCTTTTGCCATGAACCACTATAGAATAATGTATAAATAGAGAAAACTATTTATATGAAGACAAAGAGAATGTTTACATATGTTAGAATGAACAATTTGTATGGAGGACAGCGACATAACTACATACACAATAAAATATTTACAATATTAATATATATATATATATATATACAAAATTACGATTAAAGTCAAAGAGACAATTAAAAAATACAATATATGTGAGTAAACTCAAAATAATTTGACAATACAAAGCAAATATCATCATACGCTACAAAGTGGCTTACATGTAACATAAAATGGATACCTGTTTAAAATTTCGTTGTAGGGTTTTTTGTCCTAGCACTGAGTGAAGAGTTGGGGATAATAACGATTTCTAAACAGGCAGAAAAATTATGTTTGCATTCTGATTGGTCAGTTTGATGTCCATCTACTAATTGGGCAGGTTATAACTATTGCTCATACAATTAACACAAACTAGTTTACATTGATCTGACACACTCACATCTTCCTGTACTGTCGTTAATTGACTCTTAATACCTAACACGACTGTAAGAAAATCAACCAACTAGGTAAAGTCACAGCTAAACAGGAAAACAGTAAACTTGGACTTATAGGTGTTTTCTATAAATGACCATGGAGTAAATAAATTTACATACACTATGTATACGTTCTTTGTTCGTTTACTAGACAAAAACTAATAACTTTCAGCGTGGGTAAGATCTCATTATATGTATAACAAAAAATTATGTTAAGATCAAGTTCTGATAAACACATTCTGTAAACCTGACATTCTTGTGAAACTTGTACTAAATATTTTCTTTGTATATCTTAATCCATTCTTTTGAAACTTGTACTAAGTATTGTTTTTTGTATATCTTAATCCATTCTTTTGAAACTTGTACTAAGTACTTTCTTTGTATATTTTAATTCCTCAGACTATTTCTCTTCTTATCCATTCTGAGTAGAAATTACCTCTCATTAAATAAACTTGCACTTTTTTTTATGAAAAACAACAGATTTGTACAAAAAAGAGCCATGCTAAATAAAGAGCGCTACACGTGCTTTCCTTATTATATTCAACTGTATATATATATATATAACTTGGTACTCTTCAGAACGCTATTGATTTACACATCCTTTTACATTCCTGACAACAGAAGTTTATTTATGATCAAGATCTTTGTTAAGCAGGATGAAAGTTGTTTATTTGCGAATGTACGATTTTTTGTTTGTTTCTAATAATTATTCTAAAATAATAGTAATGTAATGCATTTTTATAGGATATGTTTCATTAACTTATCCCTGATTTACCCAAAAAATGTGGTGCTAGCCCAAAGGTGGCGACAATGTTAAAAAAACGACGATCGTGTTACCGGGTGAAACAGATGAACGAAAATGACACTGGAGAGATTTATCACAACGACTAGGTAATATTTTTCATCGAAAATTGAAGTGGAGAGTACGATGGTGATAATTTCTGTGACATATTTCGATTATCCGGTAATAGGTTACTTCATGATGTCCATAGATAGACACTGTAATCATTACAGCAGGTGATAGAGTAGGCCAATTTTAGCAAGTGTATTTTCTGAATTGAGGATATTGTGCGCCCGGTGACTATTAAAAAGACGGTCGTAGTTTTTTCTTTCGTGATCACCGCTTTGACGGCACTGAATCCAGTTATTCTAGGCAACATGATGGAAATCTATATTCAGAATATGTCTTTCAGATTTCAAAAAAATATTTTTTTTCCACCAGCAGCTCATATTTATTCAGAATTCTCTAATATACAACATAAGGCACGACTACACCTTCTTACTTGAAATTAATACTGACGTTACACGTATATTGATGACGTCATATTACCATTACGTCAATGAATATATATCGAATACCAATTTTCCAATTTTGTGTTAACAATGACGTTTAAGAATTGTATCTTAAAACGATTCATTTTCAGTTCTAAAGTTCATATGAGTTTACAAGGCACTGGTAAATAATGCAACACAGAACCATTAATTGAGAATAGGAAAAATGCAAACGTCCAACTGGTGCTGCCTCGGAAGTATTTTAATTTAAGAATTTCACTATAGCTCCATGTGAGTTGTCTTCTGTAAACATACATACTCAAATCGTCAATTGTTAGAAGTCGACATTTCTACAGCTGCTTCTTGATTCTATATATGTTTGAAGAATCTATTTTGTTCAGATGAAAAACTGAAACAATGTTGAGACGGCCACATGTTTTATAAATAACTCCTTTCAAATAATAGTAAATTGTAGTTCTCTTTCGATGTATGGCTTCTTTGTCGGCCAATGTCCACCACAAAATCTCGTTTCCTGAAGCCGATTGCATTTGTGCAAAAAATCTTATTTACAATAGCAATATCTTTCTAAAACCGATGCATTCTTATGATGTAAAACACAATCAGATTGTCCGCTGTATTTATTCAATCGCAAAATGTCTCCAAGAAGAAGGAATTGTTTTTTATAGTACCGAACTGTTGCTTCGAATTCGGCAAAACTTGGTACGACATTGAATTGAATCACATATTCTCCCTCGGTATTAACGTTACCTGTGTTATGAGGTTTGAACAATGATCTCCACGCATTATGAATGATATTCAGTTTCAAATTTGAACACATACGATGCACGTCCTTAAGAATCAAGTTGATGTTTTTTACAATCCATTGCGAAATTTCATGAACTATGCTAGTGTTAGTAGAATACGACTCGGGAATAGATTTACATATGCAGAAGTTCGTGGGTATTTTCAGATCATCACAAGTCCGGTTTGTACTGATATTCCGAAGGAGGCTGGTTCCATATTTCCCAGCAACTCTTGGGGTCATGTGACCTTTGCCAAGTTCAAGGATGTCGTGTAAGGTTGCAAACACATCTACATTGCTTGTAAGCTTGTTTCTATTTTCTTTTAGATTTTCGTATAAATTACGATGTTCTCTACGAAACCAACGGGGTAGAGAAACATAAAATGCAGGCAAATGTTCCTCCAAGCGACCCTGATACGTATTCCTAATCTGTCCGTATCTGCTGCCATGGTCACCAAATATCAATAGTACTGTATTGTCAAGTAGACCACGTGCGTTTAAATCAGTCAATGTCCTGGTCAGTGGAAGGTCAACCACACCTACTCCGTTGGGGTTATCGTGTGAAGGGTTGGTTACAAATGTAAATGTAAAATGGGGAACATGTTGGTATGTTGTGATAAAAGCTGCCAATTTGTCAAATATCGACTGTAGAATCAATGAGTTTCCTGAGCAGAGTCCATTTCTCATTCTAGAAGTTTCTAGTCCCATAACAAACGGTCGCAAATAATAATCTACAGGGGCGGAATGGAAACCCTTTTTTAGATAATGGAAGGTAGCAATATCTGAGGAATCCTCACCCATGAAGGTAACATAACCAGCTTTCATGAAATCCTTCCAGATAAAAGGATAATTATCAAAAAACCCTTTGGTATCGTTCAGTTCTTCTTTTGTAATACCCAATAGCATAAGAAGTATGTTCGGATATGTATTCAGTCCCGCTTTGTTATACCCTAAAAGGTCAACGGAACCCATGGTCTTTGTAAGGAAACTCCGAGTGAAATTCATATGGCGGATAAAGTTCATATGAGAAGTCGACTCTAGTCCTATCATAACCACATTCATAGGTCTTCTCACCATCGTACCGGTATCTTGGATTGTAGATCTAACTTTATTTCTTGAATTAACTAAAGTTTCGTTTCTGACAACAAAAGCAAAATGTTGCTCTGTAAGAAGTGTGTTGTTTGTACCGAAACAACGAACCAAACAAAATTCGTCGGTGACATTGATCAATTCGGAAAAATTAAGAAATTTGTTTTTCAAAAACATGCTTCGCCTGTCGGTACCTATTGCTTTCACGTATGGTTGATAAACACATTTTGAAAATATTTTATAGTGCCTCTCGATAGCAGTTTTATTGACTACTATTTGCAAATGTTTCTGGTACGCAAGAATATTCCATTTTTTACATTGATAATGTTTTTTTACTTTTATGAATTTTTTAATGGTAGGTTCAAAAGGATCGAGGTGCGGAATCTGACATGCCCCCGTATGGTAGTCGTTGTTTTTAGGAACTCCATAGTGTAATTCTGATTTCAATTTTGTTGAATAATGGTTGGGTTCCTTGGTTACAAAGAAATCCAGCAACCATCCATACCAAATTACAGAATTTAACAAGAATCCGACCAGTAGGAGAGAGCAGAAAAAAGTCTTGAAATCAACCGGAAACTTCATCATCGTGGTAGCTTTTTCCTGTAATGGAATAAATATTCAACACAATAATAATTTCTAAAAATATGTTGACAAATCTAAATTTTTCAGAAAGAAAAAAAAATACACATATTTTCTATCATTTCTGAAAATATACAATAATAAATATGCTTTCGACGAAGCTTCTATATTTTCATATTATCATTAGTGAGTCATTCACGTTAAAAAATCTAATATGAAATAAATGTTCATACTGGACTTTTAAGTCTACATTCCTCAAACTGGTCACTTTCTAACGAGCCATTTACTCAGAGAGTTTGGAGTGCAAAGTTACAGTATGTAGTTAACTCAAAGAACTGAAGATTTTAACATAACACACGCCTATACATCCACATGTTACAATATGTTACGATATCACCATCTTCTTCTTCTTAGTATTTTTCGTTTATCGTGTAAGATGCTTACAGACACTACATGAATTGATTATTGATAGACTGATGGTAAATTGTCTCCAGTGTTCAAATTTCAGGTCGGCTTATTACAAGGAGAATCACTATCACCAATAATGTTTCTATGTGTGTTAATGATTGTACAAAAGCCACGCAAGTGTTTATCACCTTTTTATAATAAAGAGTGAGATACAGTAGAACCAAACAATGAATTAAACTGCATCACACTGCTGTTCGATCTTCTAGGACTCGCCAGTGATGCGAAGGGCTAACATTTTGAAGCCTAACAGGCGCCTAAGGAAAATCCAAATTGATCACAAGAAAAGTCAAAATCTAGTTTGGGAGGTGCAGCAGCCCCATAGTTAAATATATTTTGTAATTTTCATCATATGATTTTAAAATAGCGTCAAGTATAGGTGTATTTTCTAAACCGTGCAACTATTCGAGAGAATAAAAACGTGACAAGCAGGTAAGGGCAATCTTCGGTGACTTGAAGTCAACCAGCAGTGTCTACCTCCTGCTATCTTAAAGATTGTATGAAAGACACGCAAGTGGATAGCACCTTTTCATACGTTAGATACAGTAAAGTCAAATAATGAAGCAAACTGCATCATACGGCTGTTTCGTCCTTCTAGGACTTGTTAGTGATGCTACATCATACAGCTGTTTCGTCCTTCTAGGACACGTCAGTGATGCTACACCATACAACTGTTTCGTCCTTCTAGGATTCGTTAGTGATGCTACATCATAGAGCTGTTTCGTTCTTCTAGGACTCGTTAGCGATGCTACACCATGCAGCTGTTTTGTCCATCTAGGACTCGTTAGTGGTGGTAAGGACCTACATTTTGAAGCCTGGGAAGCAACTAAGGAAATTCCAAAAAGATCAGATTGATTCTAATTGCCAAAGTTATCAGAAGTATCAAAATGAAAATTTGATCGAAATGATACATAATTATAAGGGTAAATTTACAGTAGCACATGAAGATTTAGCTACAAAAGGTCGAAAGGTTTATTACTTTCTCATCCGTAAGTTAGTACAGTTTATCTTGAATGAAAAGACAATGTTATCATTATTTGATACTTACTTATTATGCACTTCGAATTAAGGCAGTTAGGTCTTGGGCTTCGTGTCGAATCTGCGTCAGAGATAGAATAAATACATCAGTTGTCTTTAAATAATTTTACAACTGTTATCTAGCAATAATCTAAAATCTCGCTGTACTTGTAATGTATTCAGTGTCTTGGGGTTAAGTAAGATGTCTGAGACATGTGTACTTGTAATGTATTCAGTGTATTGGTGTTCCAGTAAGGTGTCTGGAAATGTTTACTGTTAATGTTTACAGTATACTGGTGTTCAGTAAGGTGTCTGGAAATGTTTACCGTGAATCCATGATAGCATCAATATGTTCGAAATCATCAATAAAAAATAACCACCTTCCGTGATTATTATAGAAATTTAAGTTGAATTCAGGTCAACAGTATCTATTGAATAAAATCATAATAATTTATTATCTGAGTGCATCTGGTCAGTTATTTAGAAGGACGCGCCAGTAAACCCCTATCTGAGAACCCCTGTAGTTTACTGGACAGGTGTGAACTATATCCATCTCCTTCATTGGATAGTTTCTCATCGTCTGACTCTATGTCCTATATGCTTCCGCACATTACTATAGTCAATATACGTAGAAATCATTTGACTTGATTAGGGGCGTATGATAAAGACACTCCAAGATTTGGTTAAACAAATTGAAAATGCGAGAAGATCCAGAATTCGAAAAAATACATTGAACAGAACAGTTTCTAGATATTACTTTAGCAATTAAAATTTATAGATTAACAATTGAAAACTCTTGATTGATCAAGTGCAGGTATTGGGTATGTTTTTAGTTATTTAAGAAATGTGTACTGTGAATGTTTGCAATGTAACGGGTATATTTAACTTGACTTGGCGATATGGGAAGATTGCTCACTCAGCTATGGCAAGTAAGTAGGATTAGCGGCTAGACATTTCAAATTTATATTTGAATCATATTAAATCTAATGCTTAGTACATGAATTATTACTTTACAGATACAGCGGAATTAATATTGAACTCTTATCAGTTTAAAAAATGGTCAACCTGAACGTCTTAAAATGATGCGTTTAAATTATGATAGCCAAAATAGTGGCATTTGAAATTAAACGAAAGTGAGACGCGTTTTCTTGTATGTGGTGATCAACACAAAACGCGCCTTTATGAAAGGAAAGATTACCAAGAATATCAAAGTTGACAGTGTAACTTCATAGAGGGACAATTCCTGGTCAGCAAGGTGTACGTACACTGAATTTACGTTATCAAACGATGTATTCCTTGTTGTTATCTTTCATCACTAAATGCTATATGTAAGCAAATGTTTCTAAATCGTGCCTCTGAACAATACACGTAATTTATTATATGTATCATATTATTTGACGTTAGAGACGTGTAAGATAAAAGGTTTGGCAGATCGAATGGAGGAAACCAGAAATCTAAAAACATGTACCTCTAATCTGCATATTTCAGAAGAGTTTTATGTTCTACCTGACATGCGGTTTGCTATGTGTTGACATTTGAAATGTATATGAAAAATATATATATGATAAATATCGACGGAGACGTATTACACTCTGTGTAAGCTGAAATTACGGACTCAGATTGAAAATTGGTTTCGAATGTGAGTTTTATATAAAGACAATTTCAATTGTATATATGTGTTACAATTAACTTGATAATCTAATTTTGATCACACAAAGTGTAAGACAGTGGTTGTTTATTTTTCATTTGCATTTTTGAAAATTTGTCTTGCTAAAGATGATTTTATGCGATAAATTATTCATATACCAGAATTTCATACCAATACGTTTAACAATTTATTTGAATTAAAATTTACAGTATAAAATGTACATTGAAATCGAGACAATAGCTTTTGACTGGGCGTTTTCCAAAAGTTATGGCCACAATAGACAGATATCAGTCAATTCCATTCAATTCTTTATTACCTTGGGCCTTGCGGTTCATCAGTTCATAATGACATACAACATATACAGGTGTAAACAACAATGGAACACAAACTGTCTCATCCAACACACAAACCATCAATTAGCATAGTGTAGAGGGAATTCAACATGTTGACCTTGTACAGCTAAGTCGTTTCTTTTCGTGTTACTCATTACGAAAAATTTGGATAAATTTTATCATTATTTCCTGTTTACAGATTTCATAAGTTGGATAAATATTTGGTCTATTATAATACTGTTTCTTAATGAAACATTTCCTTAAATCCGCATATCTTTCACATTTAACTATCAAATGAAAGTCATCTTCTAAGTCATCACTGTTACATAAAACGCAAATTCTATTATTCATTTTTATATAATCATACCTCTCAGTTTCAATTATTCAATTTATGAGATGATATTATGATTTTCGCTATTTCCTTCAAATTAGATTACCAATAGATTTTGTAAGTTAATTCTGAAAACCAAAATCTTTACCGATATATTTATACAGGTAACATTTTGAAGATGAATTTATCGGATCACAATACTCTTGTTTAAAGATATCGAACAATCTAGTTTTGATGATATTTATAATATAACCCTGCAAAATGTATCTTCATATTGCCGTATATACCAAACACCCAATCTAAAAAGTACATCTTTCACACCATGCAGACATTCGCTTATTTTGTTAACATGCTTAAAAAATACAATTGTCAGAATGCTCCATTTGATGCAATATTAAATAAGCGATTTTTTCTTCTGATAACTTCCAGAGAAACACTGCCTAGTTTTTGGAAGACCATAACATTTGCAGTAGATTTCGTTGCTCCAAATAATCTTTTGCAATAACTTATATATAGCTTCACAACATCTGGTGCTTTATGAAAACCCCAGATTTCAGCTCTATAATTTGATATACTACAAATATATGTGTCAAAAACGTGAAGATGTGTTTCGAACGTAAAGTAATTTGCTTTACAGTCATTAGATCTACAGAACAATGCTTGTCTACCTTGCATAGATACTTACTGTAAAACTCCCAAGTAATTGAATTCGTCTTCATTCCCTAAAACATAACCATCACAACACTACCACTAATCTTCCTGTCGTGACCTACCATCTTTTAAAAACACCATCACATTTTTGTATATTTACTGTGAGATTCCATATATTTGTATACAATAATAACAAGTCTAGCATTTTCTGTAATCCGTCAGCTGTTTCTGCCTGAAGTACAATGTCGTCTGCATGCATCAGTAAGAATAAACATTATATGCAATTTGATACGAACACTTTTTACTACAGCTGACACATGTGGTATTCTTATGGCTAAGTGCACTGGCATAATATCGGATATCAAGGTAGTTAAGAGACAAATATACAGCTGTTCCTATCTATTAACATTTAAATCACGAGGACAACAATTACAGCGTATTATTAAACTTTCTATTTCATTGTAAGTTTGCTGTCTACTCCTTTCTTGTATCCAGCTTGAGGAAAACGCGACAGATATAACTTAATGCAATTATATTTTAGAGAACGGGTTTAACATTTTAG